CAACACCCCCCCCCCCCCCAAAAAAATTATTGAGAGATGCTTACTTTATCATCTTCCCTTCTTACTTTTTCCTCTGCATTCTCCAGGCTGGTCTCAGAGGAACCGAATCAAAAGGGCAAGGATGCAGCACCACACCTGTATTTATCATTCTCTGCTTCTCCACAGACTGCAGTGATCGGTGACCAAGCACAACAAGACACTCTCACACATTCATTAACCAAATCCCTAATCGTTGTGTTGCTGTTGAGAGAGCAATGAAGACGACGATATGATACAGGCCGAGCGAGAGGAGAAGGGAGGAATGAATCCCTTTGATTTGGTGCCTTGTTTTCCTCCTTGAAAAAAGGCTTTTAATGAAAAGAACCACCGCTAATTGTGAAGTAAATTAAAAACACCTCACCAATGCTGGCGGTTAAAAGAAATTAACACTTTTAAAACCTGTGATGGGCTGCAGAGCCTGACTTTTTAAACGTGATTAAAATGTGTTTTGCCATCATGCCATCTCAGTGACGCAAGCAAGCAAACTTAAAACCGTCCCAGCAGTGCTGTTTTTTAATTACTCTGCTGGAATCCACCTCAGGCACTGTGCTGCAGAAGCTCATCATTGCAAACTCAACCCATAAAGGAAAATAAGTTCCTCAACCTGCACCAGCACCCTATCTGCAACATCGTTCCAAATGTTTTGATGACGAAATGCATTTGCCCTCCGGAGAACTCAATGAACGATCTAGATTCCCTCCGTGGGTCTCTTCAATAATTCAAATTGAAATAATTGCTCAAATGGGAATATGAGAAGATTTAAGAATTTTGGTGATTTGGAGGCATAATGTTGCACGATGGGAGCAAAGTGGGCCTCGTCGTGTTCCCCTGCTGCAGCCTCTGGGTAGCTGGGACTTTGAGAGAAGGAATCAAGAATAGTGTTATGGTTCCTGATGCCAACGGGCTGCTCCTGAACCCAAGAGAACTACTGTGAAAAGCAGCATTTTTAAGAATTAATTTATTTTTATTTAGAGTGTTTTTTCACAGGGGTTTTAAAGTTTTCTATTTTCACTTTGTATTTTTATTTCATTTCATTTCATTTTAGGCCCGCCTAAGTTAATGCACTGGTATAATTTAAAATTTTCAGCAGTCTCAGCACTGTGTAGTATTGTGATTATTTTTTTTTTTTGGAGTCATACGATTTTTTTCCCAGTTACATTTTTATTTTATTTCAGTTAATAAAAATGTTGGTTTTTGATTTTGTTTTTGGTTTTGTTCAGAGCAGCCATTACAGCCAACATGCCCTGAATACACATACACAACTCTGTTCTGTTTTTTTCCTCTCCACTGAATTAATTCAAGCTTTCTTCCTAACATCCCCTGGAAAAAAAAAAAGTCAATCAAACTTATGCATCTCCTCCAAATGGCTGTCATGTCCTAAATGTTGTATTAAGCACTGTCTTTTCCTTGACTCAAGTCAGGTTTCTGTTTTTGTGGCCGAACAAAGGCGAGAGTCAGAATGATGGAGCTGCTCCTGACAAATAAAATCATGCAGGAGAATAACACATGTAGGCCAACAGCAACTCCAAAAGCCCAAGCCAAGGCTGGTGAATGTATAAGAAGACTGTTCACATGTCCGTCAAGAATGATCTTTCCACTCTGCATTGATCAACCAAGCGAATAGCATTCCTTCTCGTCCTGGCCGGCTCCCTGGAGCCACCTTATAGCCTGTTAAGAACCATCAGCACTCCTCCCTGCCCACTGCCCTGATCTGATAAATCAATTAAAAATACACATCTGTTCAGCCAGGCCTGCTCCCTCCTTCCGTCCCTCCTTCCTCTGGACAGCTTTAATAATCCACTTGCATCTTTTCCCTTAATTTTTACAATTTTTCTCTCCCAGTCCTTCACAGTGGCAACTGCCTCTTCCATCCTTATTAATTCATTTTATTTTATGTAATGTGATATATTGATTTTTTTCTTTAAGATGAGAGATGAGATGAATAAGAGGCTGTTGCAGAGCACTATGTTTTAATCATTTATCGCCAAAGGGATGATTCTAAGAATTTGCTTGCATTAAATGATGGTGGTGTGTGTGTGTGAATACAGGGGGCCTGCATGCAGCTGATCAATGCCCTCGTTACATCGCCAGATGATTTAGACTTCAGGATACACTTACGAAATGAGTTTCTGCGCTGCGGCCTCAAGAAGATCCTACCAGTGAGTATAACTTTTGCTTTATCATTTCATTTTTTTCTGATTTATTCTATTGTAATTTTTTGTACTTCATTACTTTCATTGTTTATTAGATTTTTGCACTATTTTTGATTTTAACACTGATTATTTTTTCTTCTTTTCTTATAATATGATATGTGCTCATTAGGTTTTCTTTTGTGGTAAATGTAAGTTAGTAAATAAATCGAAAAAATACTTAAACTGCAGATGTACAACAGCATTTTTGTAATCAAATTGTTATTTTCTAATTGAAGAGTTTGGGATTAAAATGACATCAGTGAAAGCTAAAAGAAAAAAAAAAGAAGATTGTAAAAATTGCTTTATGGAACAAATAAAAACTTTTGAACAAATGAACAAAACTATTGAAAACAGCTAAAATGTGCCCTGGTTTGCTGTCCTCCTCCCCAATGGCACAGCTTTGTTTCATAAAGGCCTTTCCCCTCACACATCATTATCAATCAGCTCGCAGATCTCTGCTCCACGCTGCCACAAAGCCCACAACCAGGCCAGCACATCACTCACCATCTCATTTATGTGGGCATTTCGTCACTCTTAATAAGTCATTTTGACTGCTCCCCATATTATTGCTGCAATTATTATAATTATCTTAATCTACCCCTGCATATGATGAGCTTATCGTAATTTATGAATAATGTATTTGAAAGTTTAATAGGACAATTAAATATGACATTGTTCTCTAATTGTGAATAATGAGTTTCCAGGTTTTATTATCCTCAAAATGGCAAGTGCAAAGGGAAAGAAACAAAGTGAAAGACAAATGAGATGCACTAAATCATCAAGGAGAGATAGAAAATGGTGTCTGATGAAATGAAAATACACATTTCTGGAGATGAATGTGTGTGCGTGTGCGTGTGCACGCACTAGAGAGTGAGAGAGACTTCGTCCTGCCTCCTACTGCGGCATAGCGAGCTCTCTTTCTCTCTGTTTGGCTGTTCCTTTAAGACAGATGGCATGCCTGAAGTATAGTCCACTGATTGATAACTACAGAAATTGGGTTACATTTGGCTTTTCACCATCTATAAACTACACCAGCAGTGATTCGTAGTGGAGTTGTAAAGTACACCTATTTTATCCTCTCTTTCTTTATCTCTATCTCTCTAAACCCTTTAGATCTATCGCATATGTTACTGGTATACATAGCAAGACAATCTGTGTACATTGATCAACCAAGCGAATAGCATTCCTTCTCGTCCTGGCCGGCTCCCTGGAGCCACCTTATAGCCTGTTAAGAACCATCAGCACTCCTCCCTGCCCACTGCCCTGATCTGATAAATCAATTAAAAATACACATCTGTTCAGCCAGGCCTGCTCCCTCCTTCCATCCCTCCTTCCTCTGGACAGCTTTAATAATCCACTTGCATCTTTTCCCTTAATTTTTACAATTTTTCTCTCCCAGTCCTTCACAGTGGCAACTGCCTCTTCCATCCTTATTAATTCATTTTATTTTATGTAATGTGATATATTGATTTTTTTCTTTAAGATGAGAGATGAGATGAATAAGAGGCTGTTGCAGAGCACTATGTTTTAATCATTTATCGCCAAAGGGATGATTCTAAGAATTTGCTTGCATTAAATGATGGTGGTGGTGTGTGTGTGTGTGTGTGTGTGTGTCTTTAAGACAGATGGCATGCCTGAAGTATAGTCCACTGATTGATAACTACAGAAATTGGGTTACATTTGGCTTTTCACCATCTATAAACTACACCAGCAGTGATTCGTAGTGGAGTTGTAAAGTACACCTATTTTATCCTCTCTTTCTTTATCTCTATCTCTCTAAACCCTTTAGATCTATCGCATATGTTACTGGTATACATAGCAAGACAATCTGTGTAACATAGAGAAACAGATTGACTCTCAGCGCTATACAACACTAATCAGACTTATGGTTTTAATTGACACCTGAGTTTTGAATTACTTGACAAGCACAGCTTTCTCAAAGATGTCCCTATTATTATGGAGAGATACCAACTTCTGCGTACCTGGATAACCAATCACATTATATCCTTGACGTCATTAAATTGCTGCCAGAGTTGTATGACAGTCAGTGACTCCATTGCAGATGCCATACAAATGAATGAGATGTTACACTGTTTTTGACCAGTTGCAAAACTTCTCTTATAAAACAGCATTTTTCATTGTAAACTTCAAAATTAGTTAAATCCAAAATGAATGTTCAGTGGCAAACATATTGAAAATTAGCTAATAGGCTATTGATTCATTATTCGCATACTGTAGCCTCTCCTCATTTGGCATCCACCTTAAAGGGGCTCTCTTTTTTGGGGGGGGGTGTATTTCCTTCTTAAACAGGAAGTTTGGGCAAGACATACAGACATTTTGTTATCTTTCCATTTTTGCACTTCTTGTTTTGAGGATATTAATGTATGCAAACTGTAAATTTTGAATGCATATATTTATTTGCTAAAAGTGAACTGGTCAACATTTAGAAGTACACTAGCATGGCCTCATAGCTGACAGAGCAAAGTCATGAAATAAAAGCCACAAAACTCAAATCGGTTCAATCCAAGGCCTTGTAAAAATAGTTTAAAATGTCCAAAAAGCAGACTTTTTCTTCCTGTTATATTATCAATGTTATATGACGACACATCATCAGTCACTCATTCCTTTCATGTCAACCTCTGTAATCACAGGAGCTGAAGGAGACAGAGGAGCTCGACATTCAGCTGAAGGTGTTTAATGAAAATAAGGAGGAGGATTCCATCGAACTGTCTCACCGACTAGATGACATCCGTGTAGAGATGGAATATCCTTTTTACCGCTGCCTCGTGTATGCATGCAGCCGCAAGGGCGCCCGGTGTGGCTCATGGGTCTAAAGCCAAGACCTCCAGTTCATTCGGAAGGGATTTGAGAATCAGGTTTTTTATTTTAATTTTTTTTTAAATTCCAGTCCAGCCTCTGGCAACTCTAGTGGTAAACAAACCTCTTCACATCAACACCACACACATATCCCAGCATCCTTCTCTGGCCCACAGCTCATTATACTGACATTCCAGAGACACAGAGAGCAACCTCTACGCTCACCTCTCCTCTGTTTCATTCCCCCTCAAATCTGCGGATAGACTATGCCACGCGGCTATGGAAATCGGTTCACACTTATATTCTCCCTGTTTATACATCTGCATCTGACCCTTCAGGCCACAGCTGCGTACGTGGCAGCCATATGCAGTAGCTTCTGGATTTGTGTGTATCCTCACAGTACCCTTTATAAAGTAGCTTGAAGTCATTCACTGAATTTGAAAAAGAGCAAAGCATATTTTTTTGGTTGTTTTAGTGCTGTTTTTTTGATGGCTTTTATCGTTTCGCCCTGCGAAGCTTCGCTGAAATGATGGAGAAGCCAGAGTTTTAGTTCAGGCTGTCTGGACTAATGATTTTCGTGAGCACCCAACTGTGTAAGAGACACAACATTTGTCTCTAAGGACAATTTGGCATTGATCTGTAAGTGCCTTGTGTAATATGCGTGTCTAAGCAACGGTCTCTGTCTTTCTCAGTTCTTTTCCCCCTCTTTTCTTTCTAAACACCAAACGTTTTCCAATCCCACCCTGCTCGTTTTCTTTCAGGCTGCTTTATGAATATTTACCTATAGAGATGTTACATATGTATTATATTTATTTAAGCATTCAAAAAATGTATTTATTATTATTATTATTATTATTATTATTATTATTATTATTTAAAACACTAAAGGGGCTTAAAATACTAAAATTAAAAACAATATGGTTCATTAAAAATAATTAATTATTATTGATATTCACAATACTGAAGGGGCTTAAAAATACTAAAATAAATAAATAATCATATTTAAATTAGAGTTCAATTCCACCACCTTTCTCGTTTTCTCTCAGGCTGCTTTATGAATATTTAGTTATAGAGAATAATATAATGATAATAATAATAATAACAAATTAATATTTTTATGAATGTTTACCTATATTTACCTATATAATTTTATTTATTTATTTATTTATTTAATTGCTACCAGTCATTAGAGTATTTGTAGAGTGCCTGCTTAACCCTCTGGGGTCTGAGGGTGTTTTGGGGCCCTGGAGAAGTTTTGACATGCCCTGACATTTGTTTTTTTTTCAGTATCTTAAAATTATCCGCTAACACTTTATTTTGATGGTCCCCTAATAAACTGACTATAACTTTGCAAGTACATGTCAATTTATTCTACTAATCCTACTAATATATATATACTATAACTATAATGAGAGTTAGTTGACATGTAGTTGCAAAGTTACTTAGTCCACTTTAGAAGTTATACTATCGAAATAAAGTGACGTGACGTGTGGCCAAGTATGGTGTCCCATACTCGGAATTTGTGCTCCGCATTTATCCCATCCAAGTGCACACCCACACACACACACCGTGAATGCTCACCCAGAGCAGAAAAAAAGTGTAACATATTATAATAATTATTATTGGTAGTGGTAGTAGTAGTAGTATAGCACTTCTGGTTTAGTTCTGGCCACTATAGCGACTTCAGGAAGCTGTTGAATATGAATTGCAAGTTGGGCAGTGTGATTGATTGACCCTCGCTCTCTGTCTTTTGTATTGCTCAGTTCCATACAGATACAGCTCATGTTTATGCATCACCTTCCCCACCAGTACATTACTGCAAACATGCCCAAAATGCAAATATGCACAGACGGTGTGTGTCTGTGTGCACACTTGTGGCCCTGCTTAATAGAGAGAATGGCTTTCTGGTGCATTTTGCTGCTTTTGAAGTGTGGAGAAAATAATTCACTTAAGCAGATCACCTGTGTTATCAGCAATAATGCTCTGAAGATGCTTGTATTCTCACATTGAGTTGACTGAACATGGGGTGCACTCACAACCTTATGAATAACTGAAATTATATGAGTTAATTAGAAAATGTACATCAGTGTAGGGGCAGATTGGTTTGCTGCAAGGGCAGTTTTTAAAGTGCAGTGGCTGGAAGGTTTAACGTTCCATTTTATTATTGTTCCATAAATATACAGTATAGTGTTACATATACACTATATATATAGTTTATATGGTTTATAGTTAATATTTTTTTAAAGAATATATAATTCTCTAACCTGAGACAGATTTTATTTAAATTGAAACAGACCTGCTGTACCTTTTTTAGGTTTTTTTTTCTCTAAATATTGAGGCTCCACATCTTTTTGATTTCTATCCCAGTGGAAGGGAAGGAGTGATTGTGGCGGCTCAAGAAAGTGTGCTCCAGTCCAACCAGTGCATCACCCTGCAGTCAGCGTTGAAATATTTCAACAGACATTGTCAAAACCAAATTGTAAAAATTTTCACCCACCGCTGCTCAGTGCAGCACGACAAATAGACACACAATTCCTTAAATTATTTTTGCCCATATTTACAAAGATTGTAGTTTATTAAAAAACACTATTTTTTTAAAGTGAGCATTGTTATAATAACTCCATTGTAGGACCGTTAGTAGAAACAATTAATGAGCTGCTACTGTTAATCATCATAGGCTTTAGCTTGCCACTATTGAAAATAGATTGCCGGTCATTTATTTAATTCAAGTGGACATAGCAGAGAGGGTTGGGGCGTCAGTTCTTGATATAATAATAATAAAAAAAGAAGACTATGATGACTATCTGATCTTACATCTATTTTAGACATGGAAAGCCACTGCCCTTTCTCCTCAGGGAGAGGAGATGTTGGACATTTAATCAATACTCTGCAAGTTTAAGAGTATATTTCTTCTGTTTTGGAGACAAGCAAGACAAACTGAAGACGAGATTTCAGTCCAGAAAATAAATAAATATAAAAAGGAAGTGACTGATCCATATTTTATTACTTTAAATAATCACACTAAAATAATTTTAATTTGATTCATGTCCAGAAGCCAGGGTATGAACTGGCAGAAGAGGTATTTCCTCTGTCACTTTTCTTCAATACCTTGTGTTTACACGTTAGCAAATTAGATTTCTAAAGATACTTTAGAATGCAGGAAGATGGCATCAGTTCTGGTTAGACTCAAACTTTGATTCAGGCCTCCATCTGAATTAAAACAAGCAAACAATTTCCAGTGAATGATGGCTATTCACCTTTAGTTGTATTTCTTGCATTTTATTGTTCTTTCTCATCTTAGAATTATACTACTGCACTTCATATTACAATCACTCTAGTGTATATGCATTGTAACAAATTAGCTCAAAAGGGAAATGTATATAAATAATTAAAATTATTAATTAATAATTAATTAATTAGTTACTTATATCAGCTACCAGTAGTAACTGTAGAATTAATATTACCATCAACTAATCAGTTTGTCCAGCGAACATTCAGTGTAATTTCATATCAACTCTAAGAAATTATATTTTCGTGGCCATAGAAAATAACTTTTTTACAGTACTAGTGCATTAGAGCATGTAACAAGATCCGATCGTTAAAGGAACGTTATCCACAAGCAGTGACAGAATCAGAAACTTGCAGTATACAATACAAAAGACAATATACAAGAACAGTAATAATACACACAGTGACCTTGGGATATGCATAGTCATTTATAGAAAGGTTTGGCTATGAATTAATGAAAGAAGTCCTTTCCTATGGGCAGTATGTGTCTGTTTCAAAGTGAATTAAGTAGGGGGGGGGGGATCTGGTTGTTGGGTGAGGGGGTCTGTTGGATTATTTGTTAAATAGTAATACAAACAAATAATAATTTGTCTGATTTGTCCTGCCGTTACAGTCTTATATACAATTTTATATCCATACATATTGAAATGGCATGTTTAGATAAACATTGTTTTACTACATGGCAAGCAGTGTGTGCAGTTGTGTCCTTAACCATCTATGCACTGATATGGGTGAAGTGTACCATCTCCTGTCCAACATGGTGAAAGACACAGGCTCAGAACCTTACTTCCTATCCATCATCCAGCACCTGCTGCTCATCAGGAATGATTATTATATCAGGTGAGTGCTATAATATATTTTCTTTAATATCCATTCCATTGTGCGATGATAACAAGGTTGCATCTATCTGTTCATTGACAGTTGACAGTTTTCTCTTGAGAATTCACAGATTATAATTACAATTGAATGAAACAAATAAGTAAATAAAACTTAAAATAAGAATTACAAATAATTTAATATTTTTTTTCATTCATCAAAAAATAAACAAATTATATATATATATATATATATATACAGTGGGTACGGAAAGTATTCAGATCCCCTTCAATTTTTCACTCTTTGTTATATTGCAGCCATTTGCTAAAATCATTTAAGTTAATTTTTTTTCCTC